CAGCTTTTTCCCAAACCCTTCTTGCCTGCTGGGATCCGGCAATGCCTTCGTGATCTTCCCTCAAACAAAAGGGAGGTTCACAGGGCAGAGGAAGCCAGGGAGGAAAAGCTCCTTGTGCTTTCCCACCCAGCTCAAGTTTACATCTGAAAGACTTGTAGGCACCAAATGTTCTCCTGACAGCCTTCTGTTCCCAGCACCCAAATTCAAGAGGTCATTTTTCTTATACATTTCTCAGACATGTTCTTTTGCAAACAATTCAGGAGAGAGGCCTCACTTGGCTGCTTTGGTCTGACCTCAGGAGGGTCCCACCTGTGTTCACTAACCAAAAAAAGCTATCAAACATCCCCTGAATAATTCAACCCCAGTCTCAGAGGCTGCCCACCTCAGAGGCCCCCATCATCAAGACTGATCAGCTTTACTGGAGGGAGAAAAACCTGCCCTGAATTTACCTTCAGAGGCACACAGAGGGATATTTACACAAGATAGCTAGTGAGGGAAATTTGCAGGGACTCTTCTCATGTGGCAAAGGTTTTATTTACTATGATCTGACAAGACAGGATTTGGTTTACAACTGAAGGTGCATTTTTCAGAGAGCTCCAAAGGAAAAGAATAAATAAATAGTATAAAAAAGGTGTATGTGTGTGTGGGATAAAAGACATTTACCATGTAAAATGCTGCTATAAAAGACCCAGGTGGTAGCACTGGAAAGTATTACACAAAGGAGTGGAGAGTTGTACAGTTTTTCTAACCGCTGTGTACAGTAACAGGATTACAAACAGAATGACATGTTCCTTGATTAAAACAAACTGATATCCCACCTGGAAAATCCTGGCCAGGCTGTCATTGTTCTTGAGTGAGCCTGGGGCAGCCACAGGTTACAGCTGAGCCCATAAGTCACTCAGACACCCTGCCTGGCTCTTCCCAAATTCTCTCTCTTGGCATCGTGAGACCAGCTAAAGCGCCCTTTGTTTCCATTCTAACATGTGCAGGGGTGGAAAAACTGTTCAAAACATTAGAGAGAAACAACTCAGCGCTGCTACTATTCCAAGAAACAAATTAAAAGGCAGAGTCTGAACTGCCCAGGGCGCTGGCAGTGCCAGACAAAGTCAGACGTCACTGGAAAGGCTCAGCATCACTCAGTCCCTGGGAGAGGGACAACAGGTTCCATCACACCTGAGGGTTTAAAAACCACTGTGTCTCATTCAGATGGATTTTTGGCATTATATCTTTACTTCTGACACTGATAATACAGACACATTGACACATTTTATAAAGAGAATAATAAATTGAAGTTTTTATAGGCAACTCATCCGAAGGATGAAACACCTCCCAGATCCAGCTAATCGTTAGCAAGCTGTTTTCCCTGGAAAACATTAACACTGACAAGCAATAAAGGAAGGCAAATGAAAAGCTATGCCAAAGTGGCTGCACTGGGGGGGGTTGTGTCACATAACCTAATAAAAAACATAAACTGATGTAAAATCAATTCACATATCAAATAATACATACAAAACTTTCCAAAGGATTACAAATAAAAGCTGCTCTTCAGATTAATAAATATTTATTTTCTCCTTAAGTTGTGGAACTATTTTTTTCAGATAAAAAAATTTGAGTTACCAGAATATTCTGCATTTTTGCATTAATTAAAGAATGCATAAGAACCAAGGAGAACATAATGTATTCCTATTTCAGGCTGAGGTTTATTCAGGCATAATTCAGACTGCTCTAGTAGACTTGGCTAAAGTATTCTTCACATTTTCACAGAGGCTGGCTGGCGACATGTACATTATGAAAAAAAGAAGACTAAGCAGATAACCATGTCAGATAAATACATTCCACTCCCTCAAAGTGAACTTGCAGACACAATTAAATTCTATTTTCCCTCTCCAAATGCTTCCCACTCCTTTAGTTGTGCCACAAGAACACAACATTTCTTGTCACTTCAGTCCCTTACTGCATCTCCCTGTACTCCCCAGGCATTTTCGCTCCTTCTAGTACACATGATGTCTTCTACTGCTAACGCCGTTCTGTTCCCAGGTAACATCTCTTGCCTCCACAACTCCCAGGTCACTTGGATAATTCATTTGGGCCACCCAAAATTAGTGAGCTGTTCCTCAGTTCTGAGGATGCTGCTGCCCTTCATTACTTTTTCCATGTCACCTCTTTCCTCTAAAATACTTTCACCAATCTTCAGCTTTTACCTTCCTTCTCTAAATTTCTCCCACAGTTCTTTGTTAGAATTCTAAAATGAACACAATGACAATGAGCACTTTAAACTCAGGAACTCAGCTGAGCAGTGCATTTAAATGTTGAAGTGTTAAAAATACTGCAATTCTCCTTTGTACAGAATTATTCAGTGTACTGCTCCTCTGTCCAAGCCCTCCTCAGCACCTTCTCCAGAAGAACAAAACCAATGGCAGGTTTATTACCCTGAATATGGATTTTAATTCTTGTAAAAGCACTTTGTCACATGGCCATCCTCTCTACACCTGCTCTTGGCCCCTCTGCTCCGAAGGCCCTGGCAAGAGCCCTGCCTCCTGTGGCACAGGTCTGTACTGCCAGATTTAATCTGGGAACAAGTATAACATGCTGATAATGATCATCATAATTAATCTATGGAGCCCTGAACATGTTTGAATTTCAAAGGTCAGCAATTTGCACCCACAGCCCTCAGGTTTTCAAGTTTCTTCTAAAAAGAAAAGATACCAGAAAAGGAATTTGTATTTCAGTGTTGAGGGTCCACAATTTATTTGGGCTTTGTTTTTTAAACTACACTGGATTTTAAACAGTAATACAAAACAAAACAAACAAACAAAACCATAGCAGAACACAGGCAGAAGCTGAATGAACTCCCTCTCCCAAAGTGACAAAGGTTAAACTCTTAATATCAACTACAAAATGAGGTTTATCTAATCGATTAAAAAAAAAAAAAAAACTAAAAAATTGAGCTTTATGGACATGCACAACGACCTTTTCACTCCCAGGCAGCACAGTAACTGTGCAAATGAGGGTAGAGTATTATTGATATAGAAAGACAGAACTCATCTTTGCAGTTTTATTCATACTTTACTCCTAGTATTTTATGTGGAAGTATCACACAGGACATTATCTCCATTTAACAAAGAAAGCTGGGAAATTCATTTAGGGATTTATTAAGTGGCAACCAGATCAGTACATCTTGCACATAAGTGAGATACATGCAGAAATACTTTAAAGAAGGTTAAAAAACAAGTAAATTATTTTTGCTTTATTTGTTTGCTACATGTTAGCTCCTCTTGCTACACAGATGGCTGCCCATTGCAGTGTACCTACCTGCCTCTGACAGCCCACATTTCTTCAAATGCTTTTTATCCCTATCAGTAGGGAAAAATGGATTTGCAAATTACAGCTGGGCTATCATTCAGAACTATCAAATAACAACTGTAAAAAAATTACTTTTAACATGACACGAGCATAAATATAACACAAAATCATAAAAGCGATCTTAGAGATAATTTATTTTCAACATCCCTGCCGTGGGCAGGGACACTTTGCACCAGACCAGGTTGTTTAGAGCCCTATCCAGCCTGGCCTTGAACATTCCCAGGAATGGGGCAGCCACAGCTGCTCTGGGCAACCTGTGCCAAGCCCTCAGTTTCCTCACTGTAAAGAATTTTTTAATAGCTAATCTAATCCCACCCTCTTTCCAGCAGTTACCCGGAAGATATATTATCAAAATCTTGGTAACACCTTAAAATCAACACTGTCTTTATGGCAGTGACAGAGTGCTACTGTTCAAAGTTCACATGGAGACTTTACAGTAGGAAAAACCAGTCTAATAGGCAAGCCTGCCTTTTAATGCCATTATTCCTGCAAAACCATATTTTTTTAAACATGCAAATACAATTACCACAACACTACTACAAGATCAGAAAGTACTACTTTTAGAATACTGAATATATTTTCTGAAACGACAAAAAAAATCTCAATCTTAAAAGGAAAGCTAAACTGTTTAACTGCAAAAATACAGAATGAGAGCAGCAATGTAGAAAAAGCATCAAATTCGAATACTGAAGATGTGGATATACTATTTTAAAGTAGAAAGGAACTAAACACAGAATTGTAGAATGATGAAATGATAGAATGATTTGGGGGGTGGAAGGAGCTTTAAAATACATCCAGTTCCAATATCTCTGCCATAAGCAGGGACACCTTTCACTAGACCAGGTTGCTCAGAGCCAGAGCAACAGAAGTAATTGTTTGATACTAAACTCTGAATTCCAGCAACTAAAACACAACATAAAAGAAATAAAAAGATATAAAACAAATTAATTTGAATGGTCATCAGTATTTAAAGCTTATGTGGAATTTAATTAAGTTCCCCAAGATAAAAATAGGGATGGTAAAGCAGGGAGTACTTACTTGGAAACCTGTCCTGTGTGCACCTCCAGCCACTGATATCCTGTATGATTTTTGAGCAAATTTCAGAATTTATGAAACATCTTTTTTTTCAAGAACTAAAACAGGAGTGATACTGTCCTTCCTGCAAGTATCAGAAGAAGGAAATCCAAATATGTTGACGAAAAACCCACTGGAACCCTATCTGTTCTTTGATGCTGACACTGCAGGAGGTTTGGGGTTAACTGTCATTTACTTTAAAAGAGAAAAACAAAATAAACAAAAAAAAATACTCCACAAATAACAAACCCTAGCAAAGCACAGGGGAAGTGCAATTTTATACTTGAAGCAAATGTTGAAAAAGAAGAAATTCAGAGTTAGTGATGAGAAGCAGAGTGACAATTATAGCATTAAATACACTAAGTATCGTACATTTAGACAGAGAACAAATTTACTTGAACCACAGGAAACACTCCCATTCACTTCCATGGATAAAACCAGCAATGACCAAGCTAGCTCTTAAACACTTACCTCTTCACATTGAAACAAGGTTTAACTGGGATAGTTGACTTGCTAAAAGTGGGTCTTCTATTTATTTATATTTGATAACTGTAAAAGGATACGAGGAGTTCCTTCTGTCCTACACACGAGGTAGAGACAGGCAGCAATGACGTGGGTCCTCTTTCTGCCCCGCGTTAGATGTTTGCTCACAGCCATCTTGAAAAAATTAAAGGCAGTATCCAGACAATGCTGATTGAGTTGAAGCTGGTTTCCCAAGTGGTGAATCTGACGCTTCCCTAAGAAAATTAACAAGGAAAACAATAGCTTAACAACTATGCTGTTAATGTGCTTTTAGGCTGGGGTCTTTTAGTGTTGGGGTGATTTTTTAAGAGAAAATTAAGGAGGCGGATTTTGGATTTCATCTCTTTGTGAAATACAATGATCTCTCAAGTTTCAGGAACTATTTAGTCTGAGTTCCTCAGGAAAAAAAAAAAAAAAACAAAACCAAAAAACCTTGTTTTGGACTGGTAAAATTGAAACACATGCAATCAATGAGCTCTGGAAAACTAAGCCACAAACATCAGTCCCACAGAGGATCCAAGCCATAGCCAAGACTTCTCAGACAAAAGATTATGCCCTTCTCCCTTAACGTCACTTTCCAATTAGCACTTGATTAGCTGCAGCCAAAAATCAGAGGTCATGATGTGTTTGACACTGACGTGCAAACAGAGAAGACGTTTTGCTGCAGCTCTCCAAGAAGTGATGGAGTTTGCTGTTCCTCTGACCACAAATGAAGTCCACAAGGACAGAGCTCTGCTCCTGGCTCGCCCATGAGCCCAAAGATGGGAGGCACTTCCTTCCTCCAAACGTGTTCACACCCCAACCTTCATTTGAGTCTTGCCTGCCAGACTACTTAGATTAGCTTGTGGCTTCAGGAAACAAATGTGCCTTCACCCTTAAATAAAACAATAAAAAGAAAAAAAGTGTGTTTGGGATGATTCATGGCAGGAAGTGGTCCAGCTGCTGGGACAGATGCGGGAAGCGAGGTCCAACCCGTCCCCACAGCTCCAGCTTCAGAAGGATGTGCCGAAAAGACAGCTTAAGAAAAAGATGGGGGAAGTCATGAGGAAAACAGCGCACTCAAGTTCCTCAGCATACGGGGTCAGACAGCACATCAAGAAAAATCCTTTAATTCAATGTGCCGGGCAGATGTTTCCAGCAGACGTATTTACAGGAAACTCTCATCGGTTCCCTTCAGAGATGTCAGGAGCAGCTTGTGGAAGGGGCACAAAGGTGCCTGCCATGCCCACCACTGCTCACAGGAAGCGATGGCAACCACACAATGCTTCCCAGAACACCACCAGCTCCTGCACAGACCACACAATTTAATGCAAATCCCTACACCATCATCACTAATATCATGGTAAAAAAGCTTCATCTCTGAACACTCCTTTGCCAGAGATGCTGGTTTTAACAAGAAGTGACTCCAGCCAGGCAGCTGGGATCAGCGGGATTCCGGCCAAACAGGAGCTGCCACAAAGCAGCAGCTTCTCCTTCCTGCACAGGTGGCAATTACTGCACTCAGCACCAAGATATCCTTTAAGGCACACAGGTCAACCAGGCGCAACACGTTTGGACGGTAACGTAAGAGCAGAGGAAGGATCCAGCACCCTCCATGGGAGGTGTGGGCACAATAAGCTACTCAAGGGTAATCCAAAGCCCATCAGGTGAACAGTTTTTCCACTGCCATCAGCAGGCCCTGGACTGGCAGTCACCAGCCTTGAATACAAATACCACATCTTCCTAAAATTAAGGTACTAACTAGCACCTGGTATTTCCACAATTTTATTTCACACTCTACAGTCTGTATGCTGTCCCTAAGAAAGAACCAGTTTATACTTACTTGGGGAGGGAAAAAATGCACTTCAGTACTAAAAACTCATTTTGCAGCAGCAGCAAACCAGCTTCCCTTCAAAAACAAAGAGCACACCAAAAAAAAGAATAACATAGAGGAAGATACTTGAAATTAATTTCTTTCATAAGCTATTTTCACCACTGAGCTGCTTCCATCCCTAATCTACCATTAATATTCTGAGTATTTAACCTTTTCCTAATTTCAAATGTTAAAATATAATTAATTCATCATAACCCATCCTAAGAAAACAGTATGCTTCTTTGAGTAATACATGCTCTTTTAGCTGAACTCTTCATCCACCATCAATATTTTAAAGTAGAATTACTTTAGGGTTAATTGTCTACTGAAAAAATACCAAAGAGATCTAAGAGAAAGGTACTTGTCTACTTAGGAAATGCTATTTCTCTGAATGTTTCACTCAGCCTTCTGCAGACCACAGAAGGCTTTAATTCTGTGTGCTAGGACTCCCTCAAGCTGCCCTGTGGTATTATATCAGTCATACAGTTTGTTGAAAAACATGACAACTGTTACACTGCTGCTTATCTCCAAAATGAACAACTTAATTCAGGACAAGAATGATCCTAGAAATTATGTGTGTCTTGATGACTAACTTGGTTTTGTCCTTATTTGTGAGAAGAGAGAAAGAAATGTACTGCTTACAGCATCATCTAAGACAAACATTTACATTCTGCAACCAGTCTCCTATTTACTAAAGAAAGATCAAAAGCTTTGTTGTTTCCCCATCACCACCTCCGCCCCTTGAATTTAACATGACAACAAAATTCTATTTTTCTGGTATCTTATGTAACACTAAGGAAAAAAAATAGCTGGAAAAGTTAGCATTAGCAACTGTGCTTCTAGACTTCTCCACAGGAAACTTCAAGATACCCTTTACTCCTTCTGGTTCCATCCCAGATTCAAGAATGCATTTCACAGAGCCCAAGAAAAGGCAGGTATCAGCTAGATGGCTGTCACCCAACACTGCAGTACACAACCAAGCCACCGTAGAGGGCCCTCACCCTGGTCAGATGACAACCAAAGGTATGTCATTTTGTGACTTCCAACCTTTTCTGCCTAGCTGGCCAATCTGACATTTCTAGAGCTGAAAAATGTGCCTCTGTAACATTTTATTTAACTATAAATACAGTGATTTAATCTGTTGGTATCTGAAGAGCAGATGTTCATACATAGAGAAACTGGGCTTTAAGAAAACAACTGATCAAAATAAACTCTATCCAATGCTCCAGTTACTGCTGACAAACAAGAAAAGAGTCCAAATACTCATTCATACTGCCAGTGCTCAACATGAGAAGTCCCTAAAACTGAGCAGTGGCAGCCACAAGCCCTGCTAAGCCTTGGGATGCTGCTCCCCCAGCAGCAGGGTCAGTGCAGGGAGGAGCTGCTGAGCAGCTGCAAGCTCCAGGCCTGGGAAGATGAGCAATTCCCTCCAGCAGACCTACAGCACTGCATTATGGCATCAGCCCTTGAACGTCCTCCCACTCCCACTGCTCCTTGCTAGCTGGGTGGCATTGTAGAACCTTGCATTTGCTGTTTCCCTCCTGTCCCCATCTTTGCTCTCATGCCAGCGTGGCTTCAGTGCCTGCACTGCCACTCTCACCTGTGCTCCCAGTGAGCTGCTCCAGCCAGCTGCAGGGATGCTACAAGCCTGAAGATCTCAGCCAAAACAGTGGGAATATCCAACAACACAGTGCAGTTTATTAGCAATCTGCTCCACTCAGTGTTCACCTGATTCCATCACAGTGTTACAAACTCCAGTGAATTGAGATTCTCTACTGGATAGAAAAGAACTGATACACCTTTAAACCATATCATGATCTGGGTTATAGAACACTCACAACAACACCTTCCTGACTTCCTTATCCATTTTATCCTGCAGGACAGCTTTTAAAAAAGTTTCAATGTGACCCTGCTCTAAAAACCTGCAGCTACTATCTCAGTACAATAAAGGAATATCATCACATGGAACAGTCAGAATTAGGTATGGCTATTTTTTTCCCGAATTGCTACGTAGAAGCACAAGTTATAACACAAAATATATACAGGTAAAACAAGTCTCTTAGTAGATGCATCTTTTATTAGTAACTTGCAATAAGCCTTGTCTCTTTTGGGCCTTACAGGTTTCTGACAGATGCTGGGATTCTTTTTTTAAACCACAAGAAATAGCACCTTTGCGGTCAAAGCTTACATTTCATGCTGCCCTTGCAATTTAGTGACAGCAAGAAAATTGGTATCTAAGTACCTTTGGGAGAAGGGCAGGGAACAGTGTCTTTTTAAAAAGGCAGGACAGGCCCAACAGCAAGGTTTCAAAAATCCTCCCCCGTCCCTAACCAGTATAAAGTAATAAATTGTCTTGTACAGAGCAAAACAAAAGTCTAGAAACTACAGAAATTTTGCAATGCACAGAGCACACACCACGCAATTCCCATTTATTTCTCAAAGGCTCATCATACCATCGGGTGGAGGGGGAGGCAGGGGGAGAAGTGAGAGAAAGAGAGAAGTTTGCACTTCTGTAATCAACACGCAAAATCAAGTTCCCAGGCTACCAAGTAGTAAAGTTTATCACGCTCCTGAATCTGCAGCAAAAAACAAAAGGCTCTTTTCAGCTTTTAGTTCCAAGCCGACTAAAAAAAAAGTGTTTCTACCCATCTACTCCCAGCATGCTGAAAGAAACACCATCATCTTCTCATCCCATGCCAACCTCAATGCTTTGAACTGGCACAGCAGACCTAAAGTGACAAGTTCACATAGGACCACAGAACACTACTATCCTTTTATTTCAGATAATTTCCATTCTTTTGACAGAGGAAACAGTGGTTATTACAAAACAAAATGTGTAGGCCAGAAATCACTGTCAAAAAAAAATAGATTTGCAGAATATCTTGGTTCTATTAAATGCTTACACAAGAGGCAGCTGAAAGCAAAACTGCAGCTTAAGTTATAATAGAAGCAAAGTAGAGAAAGAGGGAAAATCAGACATAGTCTTTACAAGCAATTTTCTTTCTTTTATGATCTCGTTACTACAGAAACATCTTGTTCTCTTCCCCTATGGAAAAGGAATCATACCTTTTTTTGCACCCCTTAAAAGTCAGTAATGTCAGGCAGCTACAGCCCTACATTACTCTTATCTGGCTTCTGCCTGCTCATCTGCAGCCTTCCCTTCAGTCTGACAGAGGCTGTGACACTGCTATTTCATATACTTGTCAGGATGAATCATAAGTTTCTAGGGAAATAACAGGCAGTACAAAGCCAGAGCCTAAATGAATTGTTATTACAATACTAAAGTGCATCATCAAAATCCAGGCATATGGATTTCCCCCCCTTTCTGCAATTTGCTCAAGGGGCCCTGAAAACTAGTGCTAC